TTCTTGGTATGAGAATCTCCCGAGATAGAGATAAAGGTATTTTGAACTTATCTCAAGAAAAATATATAGAAAAATTGCTTAGCAGATTCAATGTTGGGAATGCTAAAACCAGGAATACACCTTTGGGAACTCACTTAAAGTTTTCAAAGAGGCAATCTTCTCAAACAAAGAAGAAGAAAGTCACATGTCTAAAGTGCCATATGCATCTGCAGTAGGAAGCTTGATGTATGCTATGGTTTGCACCGGACCGGACATAGCACATGCAAGTGGGAGTTGTGAGCAGATTTCTATCAAATCCCGGAAAGGAGCTTTGGGAAGGAGTGAAGTGGATATTCGGATATTTGAAAGGCACTTCAAAGATGCATTTGTCTTTCAAGAGAAGTAATCTCATTTTACGGGGTTTTCCGATGCAGACTTGGGAGGTGATCTTGACGGTAGAAAGAGCACAACAAGGTTATATTTTTACATTGGGTGGTACAACTATCGGTTGGAAGTCTAAACTTCAAGGAAGGGTCTCTCTCTCAACCACTGAAGCGAGTATGTAGCTATCTCGGAAGCGGCGAAGGAGATGATATGGTTGAAGAACCTTCTAAAAGAATTAGGAAGAGAACAAGATGGTTCTCCGTTGTTTAGTGACAGATCAAAGTGCTATTTGTCTTGCTAAAAATCCAATCCTTCATTCCAGATGTAAGCACATTGAATTGAAGTATCATTTTATCGAAACCCGATAAATGATGGAGACTTGAGTTTGTTGAAGATTCCAGTGCGAGAGAATCCCGCCGATATGTTGACCAAGACTGTTACAACAACTAAGTTGAGGCTTTGCATTGCCTCAACTGGCCTTCGAGCAAATTGATGATGAAGGCACTACACTAGGTGGTAACGTAAATCAAACTCCAAGTGGGAGAATTGTTAGTATTATGGTGCTTGATTTAGTCCCACATCGATTAGGATTGTGAGATGAGGTTCTCTATTTTGTTATATAAGCAACCCTATGTAAAGTTTGAGATATACACAGAAATAAAAATACTTCCTAGTGTAGTCGTGGACGTAGGCATACATATTTTAGCCGAACCACGTTAAAATTCTTGTGTCGTTTATTTTTCTCTCCTTCATTCTTTCCTTTATTATTGTCTTGTTCCTAACAGTAGGTGATAAAGATGATGATTCAAGCAAGTCCAAGATGATTCCTGAAGACTAGATAGAGTCTTAGAATACTGGATATGGAGGTACAAGTTGATGAAGTAATATTATGCATAAGCCTCCAAAGCACAAGTGTGATAAAATTCATAACATGATATTTTTCACTGTCATAATTAATTATGATGCACCAAAAATGGAAAAATGATTTTCTCTATCATAATTAATTATACTTGGTAATATAATTAATTATGACAATTCAAATTTGAAAAATATATCTGTTTTAAAGAATAAATGTTTTTTAATACATCCTGATTTTTTCTATGATATTATTAATGTCCAACGACCATTTTCTGATGCTATTTTTCTATTTAATTAAGTTTTGATGAAAAATAAAAAACACACAATTACAGAATTCGAAAATACAATTTACATTCAATCAATTTTGAGAAAAGAATTCTGAACAAGGCAACAGAGATATTTTACACATTTTGAGAAAACCCTCTTCTCTACTGCCTTATGTGCTTTCATTGTTAATCACACTTGTTCTTGGAGATTGGCATTCTACAGGCTTCTACAATTTGTTGTCTCCATTACCTAGGTGTGTCTGTTCTTATTTTTATTACCTTCTTCCTTTTTGCATTGGTGGAAAAGGAGGTGTTTTCCATCCCTAGTGTGATTCTAGGGAGGGGTTTATCCTTAGTGGGATTCTAAGGAGGTATTTTTCATCCTTTGATTTGTTCAGAGGAGGTGTTCATCCCTACTGGAATTCTAGGGAGGTGTTCATCCTTAGTGGGTTTCTAAGGAGGTGATTGTCTTTTTAATTAGTTTACTTTTTACTGGTTCTTCTACTGAGTTGATTGTAATTTGTAAACTGAATTTGAAAGATAGTGAATGGGGAGTCACTCTTGTGTTAAGAGTTGACTTGGAACTGGGTGTAGGGTTGGCTATACCCGAACCAGTATAAATCTCTGTGTGCTCTTCTCTTTTCCTTATCTCTTTCTCTTTTCCTGATTATATTATTGCTTCCACTTTAACAAATTATTGACTCACAAATAAATTTTTAATTTGACATCTATTTTAATTTGTGCATTTATTCACCCCCCTCTAGATGTCATTTGTCTAACAAGTGGTATCAGAGCTTGGTTAGATAAGATATTTCTAAACGATCTGTCAAGATGTCTATGCAGAATCAGGTTTACAGGGAAGAAGCCTCAATAAACAGACCACCATTATTTGAAGGAGAAGACTATCAGTTTTGGAAGGCAATAAACAGATCGGAAGTATAAAGGTGAAAAACAAGTATCATTGATAAATCAACCACTTTTAAAAGAAAAATGTTTATCAATTTTAACCATTGTTTATGATATAGAAATAATGTAAATTTATAGAATTTATATATTTATACATATAAATATTAATCATACGTCTTATTTTTATCAAAAATTTAATAAAAAATATTCATTTCTTAAAATGTAATTAAATTAACGTGATAAAAAAAACGTAACAACTATAATTGTTAATTGAAAAAATAATTTTTGAAGTATAGTTATTTTTGGAGGATGATATGTACCGGGGAATTTGTTTTTTAATATTTGATAATTATAAATTCTGAAAATTGTGACTTTTAAAAATGATTAAATTTTATTTGGTTAGTTAAAAATACTCGTATAAGTTTTTAAAACTAAAATAATATATCATCTTTATTCAAATGTAACAATAATATTAAGATTTTTCAATAAAAAATATGTTAATTCAAGAAAGTTAGATTCTTTCAGCTTCTTATGAGATTTATTTAAAAAAAAAAGTTTCCCAAAAACTAATAATGATAAACATTCTTTATTGAAAATGTTGTTTTTTTAAAATAAAAAATCTGAAACATAATTTCTTAATTTGATCAGATTGACCCAATATTAAAAAGTTCACGACTCTTTTAATCTTGGAATAAAGAGACTTGAGAATAAATTAATTGTTCCAATGCTAAAAGATTTTCTATTATATTTTATCACGCTAAAAGATTAATTGTACTTTAAAATGAAAATAATCATATTTATATAAAATAAGTGTAAAATATTTCCACTTATTTTAAATATATCATAAATTAAAAATTAAATAAGTTACTAGTCATAAAAAACTTTTATCATAATTTATTCGTGAGTAAGTAAAATTAATTTATTAAAATTATATTACTAAATTTTATTCAAAACAAAAATATAATTAAAGATAAACTAAGAAAGTTAATTTTTATATCAAAAAGACCAAGCTATTTCTTTTTGGAAATTATAATTAAGTTTGAATTTTTTTTATCTACTTGTTATAATCCATGACCCGCTTATTATGACCAATAACCCACGTCAAGCTTACAACTAATTAATTTATTTCTTTTTAGAAATTATCTTTTGGGTTATATCTCATTTGGAAATCTTGTGTTATTTTTTTTATGGATCCATTAATATTACATAGAACTGATCTTATTCTTTTCTTTTAATAATAAATTTCATTATGAAATCTTGACTAACTTTAAAAATTAGGATATAAAATTTTAAAATTAAATTTTTTATTATTATTTTAGAGATCTTGAAAGCTTTTACAAGAACTCGATCTTCATGCTAAAATTCTTAACACTTTATTTAATTCAAGAGTATGAGAATAATATATTTTATATTCAAATTTTAAGTTAAAGATCTAACAATAAAATTATTAATGAAATTTAAGTTTAGTCCTCGAAAACCCATACAATAACCAAATTATTTTATCTTCTATTATGTTTTGCTTTCACTTCGAACACTTTCACCATAGTTTTCACTTGAATCACATTTTGTTTTGTAAACTCTTAAAGGAAATTTTTAAAATTGAGAAGCTAAAAATTTGTGTTTTCTGCATGCCATACTTGTTTTCATTTTTAAAGGATAAACCTTCCTATGAACTACTTAAATTTAAAATTAAAGGCATTCCACCAATTGTTCTTTCCATTTTCCTCGGGGCCATTTTTCGTTTAAACAATCATCACACAAACTTCCATAAAAAACACGAAAATCACGGCCACCATCGGCCACAGTGTTGGTCAAAAAGAAAAGAAAACAATATCGGTTCGTCAAAATGGAACATAAAATAAAACCTACATAATGATAATATATGTCACTTTGTCTCATTTGTGGCAATAAACTAACATAGTTATTGATAAAGTTCAAGATCAAACCCTACCCGACAGGATTGCAGCATCGTCCTATCTAATCCAAAAAAAAGGAGCATAAAGTCCATAGCGCAGGTAGGTCAATGCAATTTCAAACACTTTCAGGTACAAATTTGGTCTCGTTACATCTTTCCATTCTTTTAAATACGCTATAGTTGCTGGCCATTGGTGAGTATCCTCGTTGAAGTGCAAGGGAGATGAATGAATAAATAAAGATAAGGATATAATGGTTGCGTGTGATGCATATACATCCTCCTCGTGGAGTTAAAGAAATATGATGAAGCAAATGATAAAATATTTTATGTGGAAGAGATAATTAAGAAAAAAAAAATGCATTTCAATTTTTCATATCATTTAAATTGAAGAAACAAAATCTCTAATCACCTAAGCACTTTTTTTTTATCAGTCCTTTAATTTTTATTTTATTTTAGTCTTCCTTTCTGTGCTACTAGGCTGAAAATTTTACAATTTTCTCTTTGACATTAATGACTAAGCCACAAAAAAGGTTAAGAGGGAAAAATAAAAAAGGGTGGGGGAGAAGGTTGGAACAAAGATATATAGATGGTGGAAAAGATTTAGTCTCAACTCAATTAATGGATGCTCTGGTCGATTTCATTCCAAAAGAGACAAGAAACATCTTCGTATTCGCTTGGTTACTTCTCATTTGCTATAGAAGTGTTGTTAAGGTGGTTGTATTAAATAAGAGGCACAACAAAGCAAGAAATGCATATAGAAGATTGAAAATAGGTGAAGGTGGCAATGGTATTGCACTCCAGGACATGTCACCTGTGTATTCTGGGCCATTGTCTGAAAAATATACACCACCATCATTGGGTCCTCTCGTCCACATTCCCAGATTATTGTCCCTATTCATCAATGAACCATGTTTCAGATTTCATTTCCATTTTAATGTAAATCAACTTGATAAATTCATACGTTCTATTTTTGCTTTGCTATGGATCTGTCGCGATTTATATGTTTTGTTGTGTTGAAATAATAGAGTATAATTTTAGATAGATGAAAATGTGAATATTTAACATGAAACAATTATAAGATGGTATTTATCATAGCAATTTTTCAATACAAGAAGTATTTATCAAAATATTACTAAAATAAGGATAAACTTATATAAAAGATAAGTATACTATACACAATTATAAAAATTGCTATTTCCTTCATGTTATTAGCATAGATTAGTAGAGATACTGAAGACACAAAACTAATTGATACCAAAAAATAAATTAGCAGTTGGTAGTTATAATTAAACTTATTTATTACGAAATATACAAAACATACCTGGCGACGCCGAGAACACCAGCGGACATGGTGAGGAGCGAGATGCGATCTACATTCTTAGGCTCCACGCTGTACGCATTTTGGTAGTTAGTTCCGGCCTCACCTCCTGAGGCCACGAAAAACGCGCCGTTCAGCATCACATCCCCTTCCGACCTCCAATTCCAGCCGCTCCACTCCCCTTCCCCGGCGTCCAGCCTCTTCGTCACCTGCTTCGCGTACGGATCCTCCGGCGCAGTGTATCGGTTCCCCTGGCTGTTAATCGTAGGCCTCGCACTTCCCCCGATCGCGTACATCTCCCACCGCGTAAAGTCGTTGTTCACCACGTGGATGTACCCTAGTCTACAACGCGGCATGCGCTGCACCAGATCCTCCCCGAAGTGGTTGAACGCGATCGTCACCTGCATCGCCGAGTCTGGGAGGTAGTGGTCGCTGTGGCCTAAGAGCATCACGTCGTTGTGGTGTGAGAAGTGGTTGTTTGAGATCGTTATTGCGGTTGACCCCATCACAGCGTCGATGAGACCGTCCTTGCACCGTGATAGCGTGCAGTGATCGATCCAGATGTCGCGCGATGAGAAGATCGAGATTCCGTCCCCGTCCGATTCTGTGCGGTACCCGTAGTGCTCTGGACTCGACCGCACGTTAGCGTTACCTGACATTCACAGTCATAACAATCAGTCCATAATCCTTCTTTCTAACTTTTTATCCGTGTTAAAATATTATTATATTATTTTCTATTTATATTCAATTCGTTACATACATGTAAATAATAAAAAATAAAAGTTATATATAATGTGAAAAATATTATATTATTTTTTCTATTTTTATTTAATTTATCATATATTACTGTACAACTGTAAATAAATAAACAATAAAACTTATATGCATTGATCAGACTCTACGTATTTCTTAGTGGAATAACTGGTTTTCCACTAAAACAATGATGATGATGCATTTTTTACTAATGATTGCTCAATTTGAATCTTCATTTCCTTGGAGAACCTTGTTGTCTGATTCAAAAACTCCATCATTTGCGAAGACTTTTTTTTTTTTTTAACATTATTCAGTAATTCTATTTTAGTACTTTTGATTAGATATCTCAGAATAATTTAAATTAAAGAAAGATTAAAAAGTGAGCAAGAAGATAAATAATGTGATGAAATTTTAAGTATTATTGAAAAGGACAGTAAAAATTATTATAGGAATAATACTTTCTCTCTTAAACTATGTCCTGTTAAAGTGAAGTGAGAAAAAAAAAACATTTTTTTCATTGTTCTAAAATATCAGTTATCCTGCTTTATAATTATCTTTCCTAACTGAAGGTGTTATTGTGTATTAGAAACACTAAAAAAAATTAACCTTTAAAATATTTATATTAAATAATTATTTAAAAAATCCAACTCCATTCTTTTCTGTCGATGATTTACTGCCAATCTTTACCCTTTTTATTTTCTTTCTCAATCAGAAAGAATATAATGTTCAAGTTTTAGATTGTACCTTTTAATTTTTGGTGATGAATTGATGAAGTTTTGTAGTTTTAAAATACAAAATTGAATTTACTTACTTTTTATTCATTTTATAATAAAGAGAAATAATAATGTAAAAAAATAAAATAAGATTTTAATCTAACAAAAATATAACATGAATATATTTCATATAATTCTTTTTTTATCATCCTTTTGTTGATTTACTAATTTTTTATTTCAATCTCATAACAAAACTAATAAAGTGTTTGATGCATCCTGTTATATTTGATTTTCAGTGGGTTAGAAGGCAATAAAATAGAATATTTGACTTTTTCTCACCATCGTACCTCAAAGTTTTGAGTTGTACTTATTTTCGAAGTTATGATGTATAAACGATGCCAAATTCTTAAACATTTATTTTCTATCTCTTATTTAATAATAATAATATAATAATAATAATAATAACAATAAATATAAATATAAAAAATAAATTCATTAATATTATATGGCAAATAGAGTTATAAAAGGTTATTTTGTTGAAGAGTTATCATTACATCATTTTTCTTCTTTATAATGATGTGTTGATGAATTTTTTATTTTAAAAATAGAAAAATCGTAATTACATAATTTGTGTGAATAATAAAAAGAATAAAAGATAGTAATAAAAAGTTAAGGGAAAAGAAAATGGTAGATAGATATGAAAGGGTTTAAAATAAAAAGATTGACTACCAATAATAGTTTACTTACGTGGAAAAAATGTAGAAAGTGAAAAATAAACATTGGTGGGAAGGAAAAAAGCTGTACTATTTCTCCATTGAATCTATCTTTGAATCTTACTTTATTACATGTCTAAAGCAGAAAGAGGTCCTATAAATTTATAATCCAAAGATAAAGTGTTATGGGTAGGTTTGTATATGCAGTGTGAATAGTTTAATTCGTTTTATTAAGATGTAAAAAAGGAGTATTGAAAGATGAATGTTACCAGAGGGATGGCAATGGTGGATGTGAATGTTGTGTATGATGACATTGTTAATATATTGAAGAGTGATGCAACCTCCACCCACAATGTGCACATCAGCGCCGCGCCCATCAATGGTTTTGTAGCTATTAAAAATGAGTTCCTGAGAGAGCTCAATCATCATGTTGCTGGGGAACACGATCCACAGTGGTTCATTCTGTATCACTGCATATCTCAGTGTTCCAGGTTTTGGGTTCACAGGGTCGTCATCAGAGGAATCAGTAACTATGTAAAATTCCCCACCTTTTCCACCCTTTGCGTTCTGCCCAAACCCAATTGCACAATCAGCTAGCCTCTGTCTGTTGTTGGCCCAATTTGGGTCACACTTCCAACAATCATCAATGGGGTTCCCTGTCAGACATGATGCCACCTCTTTCTCTGTCACCACCAGCATTTCCCTTCTTCCCATTGAAGCATTCACCATCCTATAAAGAAACTAAATTAGTAGGTGTAGCTTCTTAAAAATTGTCCCTAAAGTTTGATAGTCTAGAGTTAACAAGGAAAAAAACTATTTTTATCACTAAATATAGTCACTAATCGACAATTTGTTGCAACAAAATTGAATAACTTAACTTATAACCCTGAAAAAAAAACAATAATGGAGATATGGATTGTGAGTTGTTGTTGTTGGTACTTAGCAATGACCCAGATGTGAAGATTGTCTCTTTATGTTTTAACTTTTATGTTATTAGAATGGGATGATAATTTGCAATGTAGGGTCTTCAAGATGAGGTGAAAAAAAGGGGTTAGGTGAGGTGAGGGGAGGTGAGTGGGTCTGTGGTGCTTTTGCATCAAACACCTAAAGAAAAGAAAAAGACTAAAAAGACAGAAAATGAGGTTTTGAAATTATGTACCTATGAACTTCTGCTGCAAGAGCTTCCGGGTCTGGATGTTGCCCTGGGAGAGTGAGGTTGAGAGTTGCAGTTCCATGAGGCAAAAACAAGGGCAGAAGGAAGAAGAAGAGTAAAATGCAGGTTGTGTGGAGCATTGTCGCTGAAGAAGAAAAGTGTTGCTCTGTGCAAGTGTTGTTCCCACTACAAACACACAAAGTAAGAACACTTCACTCCCACGCTCAGAAAGATTGGTACTTGGAGGTGTTAGTTTTTAATGAAAGTGTCGTAGCTCCGTGATTAAAGGAATGAGCAAGTAAAAAGTGCCTATGTGAATAGTAACATTGGGTACATTACGGTTTGTGTTTAATCTTTTACGGTTTGTGTTTTGATTATCATTACTGTTGATAAAGAGAAGAGAAGTGGGATTGGAAGGTGTGAGAAGGAACATCGAGCAAAGTTACGATGAAATCACGTTGTCCCAGTTATCGAGGGATTGGTGTTGTTTTCTGAGAGACACTTGACCTGACCTGACCCTTGAGAGCGAAAAAGGTTAAGGGGGTTATGAATTGGCCTGCTGTGTTTCAACCTATCGTACTGCCATTTCTGACATATTGGATAAATAATAACGTGAATTGGAGAAGGACAAAGAAAAGGGTAGTTAATTAAGAACACCAACATTCTTTGTAGCAATTCAAACAGCTTTTTGACCTTTCCCTCGTCACATTATGGTTTTTGTTTGATTAAACTATAAATAATTTTTTTTATCTTTAAAAAATAATGTAACCCTTTTATTTAAATTGGTACAATTTAGTTTTTAGTTTAAATTAATATGGTTAACTATTTTAACGTATTAACATTTATAAGTTATTTCTGACATGAAACTATGTTTTTTATTTAGTAGTTAAATGGGTCATAAAAGAAATTTACACGTTTATTTTTACTAATATAAAAAATAATATTTTTTTTGAATTATCTTTTTTATTTGATGATAATTTTGTAACTGTGTAATTATTTATTTTTTATTTATTGTGTTTAAAAATAATATGTCTTTTTCATTTTCATATCAATTTTATTAATAAATAATTTGATTTTTCCTGTACTTTCCTTAATATAGTTTTGTCTGTGTAATTAATGATTTACAAATTTTACTTAACTAAATAATTAACAGAAGATTATTGATAATAAATTAACATAACAATAATAAAATAAGACATATTATATAATGTATTACAAAACAACTTATTGACACATGTAGAAATATTTATAAAATTCTAGAACATGATGTATCAATTTCTACAGTAAAATATATATCTTGCACCTATGAGAGATAATATTTTGTAATAGATACGTGAGAATCTATATAAATAGTCTAATATGCATAGTTGAATCCTCGTACTTGAATTGTCGATTTTTTTAGAAAATAAACTCGTTACTAAAATAATTTTTGAAGTGTCGAAGTATTATAGTGATAATCTTAAATGGATTTAAGTGATTTTTGACATAAACTGATTCAATTGTTAGGCAACATAAATAATATCTAAATACATATTAATAAAATAAATGAGACGATCCATCAAATATTTATAATAGAGTTTAAAAAATTTTTTTTCAAAATTTTGTCTAAGACAAAAATAACTATCTACTAGTTAAAAGAAATTATCTCCTCCTTTCATCTCGAATCTTTAAAAAATAACTCAAAATACAAATATGAGAAATCTTTTTATAAATATTTCTCCTCTCCTTACTCATTAGTCTAAGGAATGTAGAACTAATTCTTCTTTCTACACAAGTTTTTGTACTCTCATTTAAGTCCCATTAGAATGTTTATAAACAACCATATTTTCAAATATTACAAAATTGGACCTCTTAGAGTGATGCTTTTGGTGGAATCTTATAACCTTTATCTTAAGTTAGCCAAAACTAATTAAATTACTTTTTAAATCTATAACATAACACACGTAAGACTCTATCAATATTTTTTTTTCAAGTTATAACTATTATAATTATTTGAATAAGATTGTTTCTTCTTATTCTATAATAATATAATTTGATTCTTTGTGGTGATATTTTAAATGAGTCACTATATTTTAATTTATAATGAACATATTTATGAAAACCAAGACAATAAAGGTGAGATTTATCAAATGATATCTTTAAAAGAAAAATTAAATATGCCTCTCCCTGTACTTTTTCTTTGACCATGTCTTACACCTTTAAAAACAATTGGGCTACAGATATGTCTTTAAAGTTTTTTCCCTCAATTGTAAGTCCATGATTAATTCTCTGCTCATCAACCAGTAAAGAACTCTCCATTTCATCCATGGAAAAGTATCATCAATGTCACATGATTTCTCAATCAAGCAAACTATATAATCAAAATTTGTATTCATCGATCGAAGATTCTTTTCAACAATATCACACTTTCAGAATTTATATCACTTGTCATGGTCATCTTGGGGCCCCTTGATGCTTAAATTTCATTGTGTCCCATATTCATTTACCAATTAATAAAGAATGGTCTCCAAAAAATTGGAAAAAATAATTTCTTATCATCTTGTGAGCTAATCATGCATAATATCTTATAAATAAATGATGATACATTCTCTTATTAATAATCAATATTTTTTTCAATGCAAAAAATTCCTCCTGTACAATACTCATAATAACTATTAAAATATGACTAGTAAAAAAAATCTTTAAATATTATTATTACTTACTACTATAAGAAAGTTGTTATTTCAATATCTATTAAAGACTACTAGAGGTACTAAATGTTAAAAATGCTTAAAAAAATATTTTATATATTTATTGAAATCTTCCAACTATATATATATATAGCAATTTAAAATAAATAAAATTTAAATTATTGTGACAAGTGTTTATGTAATTTATTTTTTAACCGTTTATTTCTGTTATTATATTAAAATCATTAACAGCATTAAGTTTTTACTAACAAAATGGTAAAATATTAAAGCAAAATTTTAAAAAATTGACTAAAATATTTATTTTAAATAAATGACCAAAGTAAATATTAATATTAAATTATTAATAACACTAATGTCTCATAGTCAAAACACGATAGGCTACCCCTGCAGCTATGTACCACTTTCTTTGACTATGATGCTACCTCGTGGGTCCCACAGCATTGACCATTGTTGTCATCGGTTTTCTGCTCCTTCCCTCTCCACAATTCCAAGGTGACAGCATCTTCCATGGACGAGGTTTTATTTTAGCTTGGTTTTGTTTAACATAATCATGTCTCTAAAGTGGTATTATGGACCAATTAACACATGCCACTAAATATATCAAATTCAAATTTAATTGGGTTAATGTGACCTATAGTGTTCGATTATACATTCCTAAATATTTACAAATTGTATGAATTAATTTTTAAGTGATACGTATTTGGATTTTTTTAATTTAAAATAAAATAGTTAGTGATATTTAACTATATGTTATATTAAGATTGAAGAAAATTATATGCAGAAAATTATTCATGGTTATTTAATATTTTTTTAATATATTAATAAATGTTCATATTTCATAAATAAATTCTTATTTTACAAAAATATAAAAATATGAATTCAATTAAATTTATCCATTTGATTTATAAACAGATAATGATTTATCCATATTTCTTAAAATCTAATAGATATTAAAAAAGTGAATATGGATTTTGCTCAATTCTATAAAATTATTTTACAAAATAATATTTGCATTATAATTTAATTGTATTTCCTCACATAAATAATATCAGTAATAATTATTATCACACTCCTTTAGTTTGAGAATACGTAGGTGATGTGTACAAAGATCCCAAGAAACATAAATAGCAAAAACTCTATCATTCTCGTATCAATACAAAACAAACCAAAATTAATCAACCAAATTTTCAATAATTAAATATTTCTTAAATTTAGCCCTTTCAAAAAAATTTCAAAAATATACTTTTAAGCTTGCTTTATTAAGAAAATGAAATCAACTTTAAAACTTATTTTTATTTATTCTATAAATAATACTTTTATAGGTATAATGGATATCTATGAAAAATTGTTAAAGATGAATTGGATTGAAGTTTTATATAACCAGATTATATTAAAATTTTAATTAAATTTCATTGATAAAAAATAATTATAAATTTTTTAACAAACTATTATAATTCGAAATAAAACTTATCAATTAAACCTTTAGGAGAGTATACTTTTAAATAAATTAATAAATATATTATTTGTTTTTGTCTTTTTAATATAATTATATTCTCTTAAAAAAATATTGAAATTGATATATAATTTTAATTTGATTAACATTGGGATATATTGATAATATCTTAATTATATAAGTATATTTTCTCCCATATCTCATACACTATTCACAAATTACATTAATCAAGGTGATTGATATCATCTTAGTACAAAATTAAAGTCTTCCAATATAAGTCCATTAACTTATTATAAATAGATGAAAATGTTAAGATATGCAAAATTAGTTAATTATATATTTATCGTATCACTTATATCTCATATAACTTAAGCTAGAGTATTTTTGAAGGCATATTCCTTTGATAGGACATTCATGGAAGAATATATTTTAAACTAACAAAGAAGATATTCAAATTTGAAAGAAAAGAATATTTTGATTCTTAAGGAGAGAATCTTGATAATGGAAATGTGATACTGACTTTTGTAAAAATATTTGACATCTACTTTAGAACCAAATGAGACTTCCTAATATTACATGGTATCTATGAAAAATAACTAAATAAAAATTACAACTCCTGCAAGATAGAATAAATCATGTCAACGAGGCAATAATTATAGTCAAACTAAAAAAAAAATTGAAACTAGAAGAAAATGAGTGCAAATGAGATGGATGTGGTCAAATACCAAAATGCTCAAATACTCCCAAAATTGAAGGAGAACGAAAGCATGTTGTCCCAATAAAGCTTGAAACCATCTAGGTGAGAGATAAGAGCTCCATGTCATTCTTAATGGATCCCCTCTATATATGTCCGAAATATAAGAGATTGATAGCAACCCAAATACACTACATAATAAGGTTTACAGGACACTAATCACATCTCTTTATTAATAGGGTCATGAAAACCTCTTTAACAACAAGTTGGAAGAATCTTACTATAGACAAATACAATACTATATATTCAAACAAGTACATAGATATTTATGATACACAAATCATCTTTTACACTAATGTTGTAATCTTTTATTGGATTTCCCTACCTTCATAAGAGTGCAATCCTAAGTTTGTTCACAAGGTTGCCTTCATTGATTGTTCAGTTACCCTAGTAACAATGGTACTCAATTTGCAAGGAGTCACTCATATCACTTGACATTTATCATCTTAGTTAAAACTGGACATGATAAAGAAAAATCTTTAAGGATATTCATGGAGAGATTTGGAAAATTTTAGATTTGAAATTTTTTCTCTTGACATCCAGAATTTGAATCCTAAGATTGTTAGTTTGAATAATTTTCATGCATTCCTAATTCAATTCTAGAAAACTACTTTATAGAATCTTAAAATTCATGATTTTCACACATTCACATAAATCATGACCGAGAGATACTAACCTTGATACATGAAAGATCAAATAAAAATATATTCTTAAATATCTCTATTCTCTAATATCCTTTTTTCAATCTATCTTTTTTACTTTCTTTCTTCTCTCACACATTCTAATGATTAACAATGAAAAAAATCTTATGATAGAGACAAAACCCTTACTTTTTTATATAGTCAACTTCCATCAAGTTGGTTACTATCAATTTCAGAAGATAACTTCCCATATTATCTATTAAGTTGGATAAATCCTCATATTATCCACTAAGTTAGTTACCATTAGTTTTAAAATTTTCAAAATTGAATTAATTAATTTATTAATTCTAACATTCTCCCACTTTACTCATGTAATGTCATGATAGTTACATGTCATTCAATCGACAAGCTCATATGGTTTTATAATGAGAATTTCATAATGGGTTCAAACATAAACAATAACATAATTTATTTTCTTCATCATAATATGCATATACATAAAGAAGAAAACACAAATTTTAGAAATTTATACATTAAAAAGCTCAAAGTGTCACATAAGCATTAATAATAATATTAACATTCAACATTCACTAGTATACATAATGTTCATATTCTTTACATGGCCAACAAACAATTTGGGTGGTAACCCTTTCGTTATAGGGTCAACAACCATATGATTAGTGCTAATATATTTTATTGACACTCTATGTTTCTGAATTTTTTTTAACAATAAAATATTTCAATTCCATATGCTTAGCACCTTTAGAATACTTGTCATTCTTAGAAAAGAAGACTGTTATAAAATTATCACAATAAATTTTCAATGGTTTGACAATATTGTCGACTACTCCAAGTCTTAAAATAAAATTTCACAACCAATTAGCCTGAATTGTGGTTTCAAAGCATGTCACCAATTCAGCTTCCATGGTAGATGCAATAATGACAGACTACTTCGTACTTTTCCATGAAATCGTTCCTCCGGCTAAAAGATACACATAACCAAATGTAGACTTCTTGTATCCATACAACCAACAAATTTTGAATCTATATATCCAATCACCTTAAGGTGATCAAATTTTTTATAAATAAATATGTGATTCTTTGTTTCTTGTAAGTATCTTTAAAACTTTCTTTGCAACTTTTCAATGATTCAATCTAAGATTACTCTAGTATCTACCCAACATACCAACTGTAAAACTAATATTTGACCTCGTACATGTTTGAGCATATATCAAACTTCCCATAACATATGCATAAGGGATATTTTCCTTTTGTTTATGTTCTAAATCATTCTTTGAACATTGCATGAAACTAAACTTGTCTGCTTTCTATATTGGAACGAGAGATGCTAAACATTTATCCATTATGAATCTCTTTAAAACTTTATTAATATATGTTTGTTGAGACAAACATAACATTCACTACAAAAAAAAAGTCTATTACCTACGGCAAAAATCCGTAGGTAATGTCATTTTACCTACGGATTTTTTTCCGTAGAAAATCCGTAGGTAATATGGTCGTAGGTAATTACCTACGAAATTACTATCC